GTTTATGCATGCAAATTATCCGCCCTCATCAACGTTCTAAAATGAATTAATGCAAACTAATCGGTCTAATTAATTCCATAAACGGCTCATATTCTAACAATTTGATATTATCAGCCTAAAACTTATAGTTTGTCATATTTCCTATACCAAAAACGGTTCGAGACCAATTAATGGGCAATCGGAACATTCAGGGCTTTGTCATCATACGAGGAGTTTTGCTTTTGCTATGTCTTGCAAAATATATTGGATAAAAATTATTTCACAAAAAAAACTTTTACTAGAGATAGTTATAAGAAAATCAGAATTCAAGTGTCAGTTGAATTAGAATGTCGATTAATAAACATCATTTGAACAATAAAATGTGCTCAAGTGTCTTTTTTTAGTTAAATCAGAGAAAACAAGTGATACATAAAATCATATAAGTTTGGAGAACACAAAATTATTTGAAAAATTATTATTACGATTATAACATTTGACCATAGAAAAATCTCGATGCTCCAACTTTATGTTTAAAATTCTAACATAATTATCCTCTGTCTTTATTTCGAAAATCCTAATCCTTATTAGTCACCTAATATCATTTGCGAAGCTTCTTGGATGCATTTTATGTTGTTCAAACTTACCATTTGGCCGCACTAACAAAATCCACTTGAGAAACCTAAAATGAGGGAAATATCTTAAAGTGAGGGAAAGTGAGAGAATATTTTCTAAGCTTGAACAAAAATTACAAAGATAATCAAACTCATTTCATTGCGCTTAATTCTTATCTAATACTTAAACTTGCAATTGGATATACTTTGGAGCAAGCCGTGTCTTATTTATCCGATTTTCGAAGAACACAGAATAATTATGCTTGGCGTGTTTTTTTCATTCAGTCAATTGTCGGTAATCGCAATTGAAAATCACCAAATTGGCCATGCTCTGTACTTTTTTATACGCGCTTTGAAGATTTTATTCATAATGCTGAAAGCGTAACATGAATTTTTTATGCTTAGGGTTTATCCCGCACAACAAAATCGTTCCAAATTTAGTTGAGGCTAGACTCATGTTTTTACAATGATCCTTGATTTATATTGCCAAATTTAATGGTTTTTAGATATTTTTTTCTACCAAAAAATTATTTGATATGGATTAAGGGGCATTCGGAACATTTAGAGCTTTGCATTGACTTTTGACATACTTGGTTTCTGTGGTTTAGTGATTAACGCTCTTGTCCATTAACACAAGATCGGAGGTTCGAAAAATTTTTTGGGCAGGACTTCAGTTTTCAGCAAGTAAATGCATAAATTCAGCAAGTCTCTGACCAAAATACAGAATAGAAATGAAGTTATCCGAAAACTTCTTTTTACTTTTTTCAAATATTTCATATGGAGATTCGGCCAGAATTTCAGATAAGATATAAAAAAAATTATTTTTTGCTCTGAAAACGAATATCGGATCTTTTTAACTATCCCCCTTTGCATACGGGGGATTCGTTTCTACGGTACAAAATTTCCAAATGCTTAACCCTTGAATTATTTCTTTATAGGGGTGGTAATTAGATTACTAGGTTATTTGGTGGGGAAATAGTTAGAAAATATTTAGGTACGTGTGGTTTGTTAGTCACAAATAATCTACTTGAATACTGCGTTCAAGAAGTACAAAATTGAATTTCCACAACGGATTCAATGTACAAAAAAAATGTAGGCACGTTAATCTTACGATTGAGCAAACATTGAAAAGCAAATAAAAGTTCACAGGAAAATTTTCTCTTCGACAAAAATCCAGTTATCGAAACTGATGTCAAATTATTACAATCCCGGGTTGACCTCCATACAGCGAAAATGCTCCTCATCATACAAATCCATATCTCAAGTGTATGGAAAAATGCTTGTCATACAATTTTCGTACAGTTTTGAAATTGATGGAAATTGTATAACTAGCAATTTTTGGAGGCGACACAAAAATTTTTCATTTATTTTGAAATCGCCGCATACATTTTTTTTTGCTTTTTTCCTCAATCGCAAATCGAATTTGTACTCGAACAAGCATTTTTCAAAAAAATGCAAAAAAAAATAGTCCTGGATACACTAATGTTGGATTTTTTTTTCCTTTTCGCTTAATAACTTTTTTCACAAACGCTGAAAACTCCCATTTTTGCATGGCATGTTTATCTAAGCTTTGATCAATGTCTGATAATTTAAAAAATCAAATTTAAAGAACAAATCATCATTGAAAAATTTTCCCAAAATTTAAAAGTTTGTTACTTATCCTTGTATCGTATGTAAAAGACAACTCTATGTTAATTCATGTCGTTTTCTATGCATTGTAAATTCAACCGTCGAACCTCTGGTGTTTTGAGTAAACCGGGGTCTATGGTTACACAATTCAAATTTTTTCAGAATTTAAATTTAGAAAAAAAATCAACTTTTTGAATTACGGAAAAATACTTGTCATACAATTTTCATATATGAAAAAATGCTTATCACAGAGATTTCATACAGTTTTCTGTAATTATGGAATTGTCTGGAATTGTATGATAAGAAGTTTTTCGTATTTGGAAATTGTATGATTAGAAGTTTTGGTCGGCCCAGGCTATTAGATGACATTAATAAATTTCATCATCAATTTTTGGGTCATTTATAAATTTCATCATCAATTTTTTCGGGATCAACCGTACAATCGAATTGGAGGGGGGTGTACGGTTGATCTGTTTTCCTGACCCACGCTTTTAATTTTGAAAAGAACAAATCGAAAAGTCGATTTTTTAAAAAGATCAGATTCATTTTTCGTATTTTATAAATATTTCTTTTTCTATTGCAAAATGGGAAATTTTTGCTTACATTTTTTTGCGGTACAAAATCTGCATTTGCTTTACTATTTATTTAGTTTATTATAAGGGCGATAGATAGTTCAAGAGATTCTTTTTTTTGTTGCAGATAGCAGCATTGATTGCGACCCCTTTTCTCTGAAAATTGCAGCAAATCTGCTTTGATTTCATTTGATAATCGAATTAGAACAGGGAGTTTTAATATACCTTAACCATTAATCAGACTCAGCTTTCAAACTATCTAAAACTGAGACTACTTCTCACTAAGCTGTCGGTCTGCGCAGAAGGTTTCTGTTTCAGAGTTTGAGATTAAAGAAGTCTAATTTGATAGGCGAGCTATTCAAAGACACTTGCGTGTACGTGTTAGATTTGGAATTAGTTTGAACTGCGTTTGATTTTCCCTAATCTTGTTCTGAAATTCCTTCAGAAAATTACTTCCAACAGTTCTGCTCGCTTTATGGAACATATGAGTTCTATAAATCGAGGTGGTAGATAAAAGAACAATCCAGACATTGTTAAAATTCATTTCAATAATGTCTAGATTTAATGTTTAGATGTCTAGATTTTTTAGATGTCTATTCAAAGTCTAAATTTACCATTTTCATTAAAAACTGGCCTTTTCTTTAAAAAATTTGATTTTTTTTTGCTCGGATTATGCGCACTTCTATAACTGTTATTCAGTCTAATTAGACAGCAGTAATTTCACAGTTTGGATTGAATCGCTAAACTATTTTTTCATGTGTTTCAAGTTAAACCTTTTTTCAATTTGAACATTTTTGGATGATTTAGATTTTAAATATTTTTGTAATTCTGCTGATTGGAGTATCGGTCAATCGGATGATTTTAGCACCCTTCTGTCATTCCTAATAACTGGCTAATCTCTCTTGTTTTTACGTTTCCTCTCAGTTAATTTCAAAGTCTCTTGATTTCAGCCGACTTCACTGGAACTGAAGCGGGCCTCTGATCAGATCACAATTAGGTGCTACTTCTCAACAGCCCAAATTGCACCACAATGCCAGACAAATAATGTGTATTGTGTTATTTATTACATAACTAAGATTATATAACATTGCACTAATTTGAAGAGAGTGACATGTTTGATGGGTAGCAAAAAGTTTTTTTCTCGTGTTACGTTTTTTTTCAAAGTCGGTCATAAAAAAGCTGATCTAGCTTTTTAATTCTAGTACGATACGAATAGATAAATTTGCTTTACTTTTGTTTTGGATGATTTCCGAACTACAGAAACGTCTGAAATGTGAAAAGATTGAGACCAGTTTTCTCGATACCAAAAAATTTGTTTCAATTTCAATTGTGACAGGAAGCTTTAAAAAGAATAAACCACTCGACATCTTGGTTTGCAACATTGCGCGTGAAAAAAAAATTTTATGCTGTTCTTTTAAAAGTTCTGTTCTTTTAATAAAGAAAATCGACAGTTTATGCTTTCTTTCTAGTTGACTGAGATACAAATTTCTCATTCCAAGATCGACCAATTTAATTTTAACTACAAAAAGTTCAAAGCAAAATGTTTTCTTTTCATCTGTAACCGTCATTTTCCTGCTTAATTTCTATTGGTGCGGGCCAAAAATAAAGCTAACGAAAAAAAGTATTAGAAAAATAAAGTTGAAAATGAAAAAAAAAAAATATATATATATATATATATATATATATATATATATATATATATATATATATATATGGTCGGCTAAAAATGAGCAGCGGTATCTATAACAGACGGACTTGACACCAAATCAAGGATTGTCTGGCCTACTTACCCCTTTCAAAAAAATCGGCTTTATCATATTTACAGCTATTGATGTTATTTTACAGATACGGCGGCGCATTATTCAGTTTATGTTACTGAAAATCAGTCATTAGCTGTTTGACTTAGAGAATCGAAAAGCTTAAGAACTAAATTGAGTTTCATCTTGAAAAACTTAAATTTATCAGTTTATTTGTATAAAATTTTCTCTTTTGTACAATTTTCATCAAAGAAATATTCTAAAATCTTTAAATGCCTTCAAAATGTTACTTTTCCTCGAATCAAAGACTCATTTTAAATTAAATGCTGATTTTTGCAGATTGCAGTTAAATTGATTTCAATCAAAATTTCACTTTTATGACATTAGATTTGAATGAAATCGCAGACATTAGCGAAAAAGGTAGATCTGAGACTAAATTTATTTATAAGAGTGGATTTGATATAACTATTAGATAGATCAAAAATCCTTAGGACCTCTTAAGACTATTGAAACACTGGTGCGAAAATGCAGAATTCCTTGAATGCTCGAAGTTCTTTATTCTGAAAGAAGTATAAAGCTCTGCTAGTAAATTTATGCCATGTATATCAAAAATAAATTTGTCAGAAGCGAGAGTGACAAAATTGTAAAAAGTATCTGAATAAAAGAAGAAAATTTGTTCAGAGGAAAACGGTTCAAAAGTCGTGCTCAAATTATTAAAGCCGATTTTTCGATTGAAGTGATCTCAGTTTTATAGCTCTGTCTTGGTTTCTTAGCCCAATTCCGGACTTATTTGTGGTGGCGGTTTGAGCACAATAGTGCCAAATTCTGACCATTTAACTCTCATTTTGGATTCTGTTCCTCAAAAGAACGACAGACGTCCGTCATTGGTACTATTACTACAACTATTGTGAAAGTATTGTAGTTATTGGTGTAGTATTACAATTACTAGTATTACCAGCGACCAGATAGTTAAAGCAAAAGGTAGCAAGTGTAAAATAGCAGCTATATACCTAAGCGGTGGCGGCGGCGGTCGATTCGGTTAGCTCAAAGGATTGCTTAGATGTTTGCAAGCTAGCCTGCTTATCAAGCTAATGTTATGAGATCAAAAACAACACCAAGACATTACGAGCACAACATATAAGTATCAGAATCAGTCAGCAAAACACAAACATCCAAAACCAAAAAGCAGTTGGAGTGGTAAAATCGGTGCTTCACAGAGCAGAAAACGACACGACTTGAGAAGCTAAAACTATAGAAGCTCTGCTTTGATAGATTTGATTTAATCGATTGATCTGCCGGTCTGAGAGAAGGTATTGCACCGCTCTAGCTTTGATTCTTCTGGTCTGAAAAGAAGTCAGTAGCCGCCGACAGTTCTTGCAAGTCCAAATCTGTCATTGGATACTCTCAATTTTGACAGACAGTCTTGCACTTTTGAATTCTTATTTCTACAATATTTCATCTCAGCAAATACTGCGCTGAAATTCACTTTCGTATCTTTCTTATACTTATTCAAACTTTTTTCAAAAAATTTTGAAGGAATTACCAATTACCCTACGGGACCAAAAAGAATTAGCGATTACTTGTAAGTCAATATTCGCTTTAACGAAATGTGCAATTAAATTGTTAATATTGATTAAAAGCAACAAAAAATTAGCTTAAATTTAATTATTAGTTTTAAACAGCGCTGGTATAAAATAAAAACTTTATCTAAAAACAGGATTTTCGACAAATCTTGGTTTGAATTTAAGTTTCGCAATCCAAATCTAGCTTTAAAACTATTTCCTTTGCTCAGCCAGCAATCATGACACGCAGCTTTAAAATTTCAATTCCAACATCATTTTCGAACATTTCTTTCAAACTTCTGATTTTTATTTATTCATTCCATTTTAACCCGACGTTTGGGACACCAGCTAGCACTGAGTCACCCTCTATTTGCCCAAACGGTTACCCCGTTCCCTTTCCGTGCTCGCAACACGTATCCTATGAACAAACCTACACCTTCTCCGAGTTCAAAGGTCAAACCCTATTACGTAACTCGTTCGAGTCGTTGCATAACTACTCGCTGCAAGTTGCTGAAAGCAACAGTTCGGAAATTGAAGTTGAGCATTTGAAAGTTTGTCTCGGGACACTGTTAGCTGATGGATGTTCAACTTTTTACCCAGATTGTAATTTTTCACATCAAAATTGCGTTCAAAATATTGCAATTCCGATGATTGAACAGTGCTTTGGAAAATTTCCAGTTTTGTTTGAGTTATCTCAAATTTCAGCTGAGAGTCTTCGCGTTCTGATATCAAAATTACCAAACTGCAAAAACGAGTCAAAAATTGACGATTTACCAGAAATTCCAGCTGAAATTGAGACAAACTATGAAGAAACTTCATATTATGACGATTGGAATAAAGTCAATTTTGGTTCGTCGGATGAAGAAAACATAGAACCGCAATGGGGTGACGTTTTTGTCGAGCCGAGAAACAAATTTGAACCCAAATTGTGCGCCGAGAGCAAATACTTCGTTTATTTCAACAACAGTCAATCGTGCGCACCGCGATGTGACAAAACAGTATTTTTCACGAATCAAGATAAAAAACTGGCGTTTACTTGGCTTTGTATTTGGACCAGTTTGTGTACCATTGCATGCGGTTTCACAGTTCTGACTTACTTCTTGAAATGCGACCGGTTCTCATATCCAGAGCGACCTGTGATCTACATGTCGTGTTCGTGTCTGCTGTATGCGTTCGGCCATCTGCTTCGGGAGTTCGCGGGTGTTGATGGGATCGGGTGTCTGGAAAAACATGACCCTGGAACGAACGCTTACATCACATACTACATGAGAGACAGTCTCGACGGCCAGGTACGTTTTTTTTGTTCCGAACATTTGAAAAATGGGGAGGAACTTTGCATTCGGGCATGTTTTAGTTTTTTTTCTTTTGTTTTCCACGCAAAATCAGTTACCACAAATGATTACCGGAATAGATCGAGTGCAATAACAAATTGAAGCCTTTTCAGTTGTGATTCGAATCGAAATACATAGAAAAAATGTCAACAAGTTTTCTCGGTATTGAGAAAAACTGGTATAAAATTTTTGAATTCTATGTCAATTTTGAGCAAATAAAGCGAGCGAGCAGGCTTACAATAGCTTAATCATGCTTAAAATAAACCCTGTAAATTTAATTTTAAGCAAATTAGATAAGTTGGTTGAGTTTTTTAGCGCCATTCTGGAAACAAAAATTTCTGCAAAAAAATAGAAAAAAAAATTGAATTTTTTTAAGTTTTTTTTTGGATTTTTGGTTTTTCTAGTCATTTTACTGCTTAAATTATAGATTAACGTCAGATCCTTTTATCCTACCATGCAGAAAAAAAATATCATTATTTTTTTTCAAATCAAAGTCTGGTAGAAACATTGTGCTATTTGCGCAGCAGGCGGCTATCCTTGTTTCTATTTAACATTAGCACCAAAAGGCTTAACACGATGAGTAAACATTAGAATCAACTAAACCAACCCGTTGTCAGATTCGCAAGCATCATCTCACCGCGACGCATTGATTTTGTTCCAGATTAGATTCTAGGAAACCTACAGAGTGAAATTCGTTATACATTTTCAAGATACCTTTGCACAAGAAGGCGAATTATATTCAAAAATTATTTGATACCTTTGGCTAAAAAGACGAATAATTTTCAAAAATTAACTGAAAACAAAACGAATATTCTTGGTACTTTCATTTTCAAGATTTTCATCTTTTTGAAATCTCATTAGAAACTTTGCGTTTGGTCTGTCTATGAAAGTTTGATATTTTGAGTTTCAGCATTCACTTTAGTTTGTCCTAAAGGCTTCGTTTTTTTTAGCTTTTAGAAACTTATTTTTAAATAGAATATTGGGATAAAATACTTTATGATAATACTTTGTAATATATAATTCAAATCAAAATATAAATCTACAATTCTTGAACTTTAACCTGAATTACGAAGTTAGTTTTCCTTTTTATGGCTTAATTTAGTTTCCCCATTTTCTGATCGCAATCTATACACGTTTCCAAATATCATCTGGCTCTAATTCACCTTAAGCGTGTTTAAGTTGCAAGTTCAGCTGTTTGTTCTTTTGATTGAAGTTATTTACGGTCGCTGTATAGTGGATACTTTAAAGCTCAAATATTAGTTCAACCGAACCGACACTCTCAGTCTTCTTTGAACTCTTGTAGTTGATATTATTCTGTAGGAAAAGTAAATTAATTTTTGCCACTGAAACTTAGAAAACTCACAATTCATAACCTGAAAACTCAGATACTAAATCATTCTTAACTTTTTTAAAAAGACGAAACCAAAAATCATGAAAACCATCTTTTTTCTTTTCGAAAACAAGAATATAAATTGGGTTTTTGACATGATTTTCTGGTCTTATACTCTCGTTTCTCCAAAACGTTTAACTATACGCATATGGAACATTTTTTTTTTCATACTACTTTTTCAATAAAATTTACATGTACAAAGATAATCAGTATTAAATAAAATAGAGCTTTGTTTTTTCAATCACCAAAAAACAATCAAAACAAAACTTTGTTGTCATAAATATGATTACAACTTTGATTTTTTTTTTCATTTGTGAAATGGTTTTGAAGTCTGTCTGATGTTTTATTAATTGAGCTAGACATACATTAGACAGGTTGTAAACGTCTATATAGTCATTGGCGTTTATTATGATGATAGGTAGGTGCTGATTTCTTTGAAGTATTTTCTATTTACCGACGCATGTCACAGAACTCTATTTCTCTGATCTTTATATCTTGAAGCGAATACTTGAAAGACTTTATTATTTATTCAAAACTTAAATTAATCTCTTCGCTATGCTTTTCTCAAACATGTCATTTCATTTCATCAGGAGACATAAAAGATGTTCTATGTTAGCTTAGCAGATCAGTTTACTGACGTCTCAAAGTCAGTCAGATGATTATTTGATGATAACATCATCATTTCATGTCGACAAACAAAAGCGCTTATAACAAACATGTGAAAAAATAAATTCCGACTTCCGCTTTAATGAAATCAACAATCGCGCAGACAGTCATGTGCATTACAAAAAAAAATGAAAAAATTTTAAAAAGCGGAAAAATGCAAGCCTAACTCAAAAATGTCCGAAAAAAAGCATTTATTTTAATGCAACAAAAAGTAAAAAGTAACAACATAAGCAAGAAATTCATAGCTTACAGTAGATAAAAAAGTATTTAATTGATCCTAAAATTTTGTAAGCATAACAAATTTTCACTCAAGTTTGTCCGCTCTGTCTATTGCAGACGCTTTTGAATTTTCAGTTTTAGAGAAGTGCACTTAATTGAAAAAAACCATAGCTGATTCAAGATTTGCTAGTTGAAAACTTCAATTTCCTTCAAAGAAATTATTGTTTCAGTTGGCTGTTTAGGCGAACCGCTTTTTTCCTTGAGCATCCCGGTTAATGAAAACTGGCAGACTTATCAATGCACTTGATTGAAAGTGACAGACAAATATTAATAAAGGCTATTTTTCAATGTCTTTCAATTTCTTTTTTCCTCAATTTCTGTTTTAAGTTCAAAACTGAATAGCTGCCATAAAAACCAGGCAAGCATTAAGCACACGTCCTTTCATCATTAATAAAAGTGTGATATCGTTGATTAATATGTCGGCTCATCTACGATTATCCGGATCCTAAATTATGACTCCCACAGGCTATTTAGAAAAAAAGGAAAGAGTAAGACTCGCCGTCTTTGTTTCTAGCCGTGGTATTTGGGGAGACCCTTTTTGCCATAAAGGCGCGCCAAAAAATACGCCAAAGAGATGCCAGAAAACAGCTTTGATGGCTGAATTGAATGCCAGTTGTAACTTGGAAATCTCCAGACTAAAGTGCTTTTGATTCGAAGAATCGGCTTTAAGAGGTCTGTTTCAAGTGGTCTCTAAAATAAAAAATATTTAAACTCCAGTGCAACTACAAAACCATTCTCGAAGACTCAATAAAAATGAATACTTATGTTGTTCAAAAGCTAAGAATATAATCGGACAATATTATGTTTTTGAAAATCTTCATTCGTGAGTAAACTCAAGACATCTTTCTCAGCCCAGGAAAATAGCCAGCAAGAAAATTGCTCAGATCTGAGACAACGGTCTTCCCTTAGAGACTGAACAGCCGATATGTTGATACTTTTTCCCTTCGTGCATAAATAGCCTTGAAGTAAGGAAAATTGGAGATGCCACCCGACAGGCTGATGCCTTTTTGTTTTCTCCCCAGCTGAGCTAAATTGTAAACGTACCATTGCATACAATGCTTGGCTAAAAGTTTCTGGGTTTAAATTAAAATTAGTATTAATAATCAGTGATTTGTTTCGGTTTAGGTGTGGTGCACTTTCACATTTATGATGATGTACTACTCTCAGATGGCGATGCACGTGTGGTGGGTGATCCTCTCTTTCTCCTGGTTCCTCTCCTCTACTCTCCACTGGAGTCCAGAGGCACTGGACCACAACAGTCGGTGAGTAATACGCAAACACCCTGGGGGTGGAGGGGGGACAAGGGAAGAAAACCAAAAAGAACAAAACGCACTTAACACCTAAATACACTTTATTTGATTTCATGACGGATCTTGTCAAGTATTACCCCTCCCCCTCATCGCAAAAGTGAACTTATTTCCAAAATACAGAATTTGTTAAGGCTTTACCGTTGAATTAGTCTTTTATTGGGTCGGAAATCTTACTAGGCGCTATACCAGGTGGGATTCGTTACGAATGGCAAATTTTGTATGACGCTTATCGTTGAATTAGTCTTTTATAGGGGTGGAAATCTTATTAGGTACCATTGGGGAGAGGAATAGCAGGCAAGATCCCTCGTGCCAAGCACTAATTCCTGAAACACTAATTCACTAAATTCTTGCATACAAATTCATGTTAAAGTTATTGGAAAAATTAACTAAAAAATTCCTATGTTCGCTAGTGCATATTCCACTTATATTTTTAACGTGTTAAAAAAATAAGACACGCATATTTTTAATGATGAAAATCAAATAAAATGTAGACAGAAAACCAATTTGAGAAACCATGAAACTCCGGAAGTTGCCCGATACCCTTCGCTTAACCTTCATTAAAAAATTTTCACATCTTGAGTATTTCTTATGACTCAAATCTTCATAAAACGTAATAAACATAGCCAACAGAGAGTATGAAAAGAGTCAATGAACGCAAGTAAACGGAAAAATACTGGTTTTAAAAAAATACTTTCGAATTTTAAAGAAAAATAGATGTTGATAAAATTAACCAAAATTGAGAAAATTGGATCAATAAGTAAAATTTTATTTCGCTGGGAAATCTGTTAAAAAGAAATCAAATTCACAACGCGAAAGAAAACATTGAGCCTGAACTGAATTTAAGACGAAAACAAACGAAAAATAATCATCGCGACCTATTTAAGAGTCTGAATAATTTTTGTTCATCGTTCTTAAGCACTTCAATCAAAATTTCAATCAAAACTCTTTTCTTCAATCAAATTTACACGTTTTTTTTTTAGATATTTCCATCTGGTAGCCTGGATTGCACCTGCATGCAAGACTCTTCTCGTCCTCGCGACCCAGAGATTCGAAGGGGACTCCTTGACTGGACTATGTCTCGTCGGCGCTCAGACGCCCTCCAACCTAGCAATCTTCATAATTATGCCTATATCCATATACCTAGCAGTCGGACTATTCTTATCCATCTTTGGATTCTGCTCACTAATGAGCATTCGCAACAAACTCAAAATGAACCCTGGTCTCAAAAAGATGGACTTTCTTATAATTCGAATCGTTCTTTTCGCTGTTTGCTATGTAGTGCCTTGCATTTTGTACTTGATCGTTTGCGGATTTGAGTACCATTTAATGTCACAGTGGACTGAGAATGTTCTAGAACTCGAGAAGAACTCCAAAGACGACATAATTCGGCAAAAATCAGTCGGCAACCTGCATTTAATGCTGTTTAAACACTCTCTGACGTTCTTCATGGGAACTGCAACTAGCCTTTGGATGTTCAATTGGAAAACGGTAGAGACTTGGCGAGAATGTTTCTGTCACACCTATAGCCCAGCAGCTAACTATTCACCTTACACTGGTGTCAAACCAATTTGCCCTTTCGTCCAAGAAAAAAATTTGCAACGTCGACATGAAAAATTAGATTTCGCAGTTTCCAAGAATCTGGTCACGCTCAAACCCGTAAACAATTCACATCAAGTAGTGAACACAAAGCGCCCTATAACCTTGACTCTCAAACCCTTTGATCCCGCAACAACCGAAAACAAACCTGTAATGTACAAAGTTTGTAATAGTAACGTTGCCGTTCCGTACAAACAGAGCTCTCCAGTGAATGAGTTGAAAAAGCCTAAAGACTTTGAGCCGACAATTAAAGAGGCGAAAAAACCGATAACCAAAAGTGCGTCGACCACCACAAACAATAACGGCACAAGAGGAACTTTGAATCCTTACATGCCAATCGCAGTATTCGTATAGCTTTAAAGACTTAATTTTGAACTCTCACTTCACCTTAATTTGTGCAAATGATTTTTCTGTTTATAAATAATTCATAGTTTTATTTTCATTTTTTTCAATAAAGAAGAAAATACCATAGAGGCTTTAATTAGTTTATGAAGATCAGAGATAAAATAAGATAGAATTTTCTCCAAACAAGCAACCCAAAATAGGTTCATGGGCCAATTACATAAACAATGCTTCTCATCTGTAAGCATTTTTTATTTTTACTGAAAGACAAGGCAGAGCAGAAGGAATGATAAAAAATAACGCAAAATAATTGAAGAGCCTACAAAATTAACTAATTTTTACTCGCTAAAATCGGAGCTTGAAAGACTCCTCGCCAAAATTATATCTATCAAGTATAACAACATGGTTCCAGCAAAACTTGAATCGGAGTCACAAAATTTCAAAAGTCTGACGAATTTTTGAGTCGAACTGCCTATTAATTTAATTTAGAAAATCATTTTTCTTCAAAAATGCAAATTACTCTGAGGGTAATGAGCAATGTATTTATTTTTGCTTCCAGTTCGTAAAGAAGATTTAAACAAATTTAAGTGCAGCAAACCAGCTGCTAAAACGACGGAATATCGACGCGCGAAAACTTTACACAAAGACAAACTATACGAGAGAAATTTAAATCAAATTGAATTTCAAACAATTGATCACAAATTGCAAAAAACTGTGCTTAGAAAGATTTGGACATTAAACAGGAAAAAAATTGGAAAAATTAAACACAGGAGCGAAGCTGAGCGTCGCATCACTTGTGATACAAAAAAGGCCAAAAACCAAAAGTGAAAAATTTAAAAGACACTAGCCTGAACGCACATCCGGTGCTTCTAATTTTTATAAACTCATAAAAATTTACAAAATAATGGAAATAAGATCTGCATCCTTTGAGTATACAAGGTTGGTAATATCAAATTTTGTCAAGTTTTTTTTCAATTTTTTTTAATTCAAATTTTGAAAAACCATAAAACTTTGTGAAGTTTTTTATATCTAAATTTGTTGAAAAAATTTAAAATGACATAAAAACGTCAGATCCCGGAAACTAAAGCAATCGAGCAGTCAAATTTAGACGCAAGATTTGCAACTCCTCGGAGTACTGTCACAGTACCCAACTACTGCGTTGGGATTTCAAATTTTGAGAAAATTCAAATTTAAGTTTTCTAAACCTTTTTTTGGAAAAACCATAAAAAAGGCCATATCTCTAAAATTACAAAGTCATACTTGGAGGCAAGATTTGCAACTCCTGAGAGTACTCTGACAGTCCCCAAATATAGAGCTACCAGTTTCAAGTTTAAACAAACCAAATTTTTCTGAAAAATCACAAAAAACGTCGTGAAAAACAGGAAAACTACAAAAATTTGAGCAGTCATATTTGGAGGCAAGATTCGCAACCCTTGAAAGTACTCTGACAACTCTCAACACATGAGAAGGATTTGCGCTACACAAAAGCCATTCATTTCTATTTCATAATCAATAGATGGAAACGCTCAGAAAAAGAGATCCAAAAATTCCTAACGGCACTCAAAAACTTTGCTTCAAATCTTGCAACCAAACAACCTGCATATCCTTCAGAATAAATTTAGTATAACTCTACCCAAAAACTTTGCTATAAACAAAGATAGAAAGGAAAAAGAAAACAAGAAGATGAACGCCTACTTTCAAATAATTTCCACAAAAAAAAACTTTTAAAAAATGTGGAAAAAAAACTAAAAACTTATAAAAAACTACATACATCAAACTTAGCAGATGAACTTGATACGCAATGTTAACATCTAGGATGTGGCATCTAGGCCGACAAAACATAAGCAGACAAATATTAAGCCTACAATTTTTTGGAATCGGAATATTTCCCATTTGAAAAAAATGTAGGTACTGTCCGGTTCAAACCCAGGAAACTTGAATTTGTTAAGAAATGAACTTAAATTTACCATTTCTAATTGAACATTCTGTGAACAAAGATATTGATGGTGAAAAGTCTACTATCCGATAGCAAAATTCTTTCTGATCGCAAGGGTAATAATGTCTAAATACTCGAAAAACCAGAGCTTTAGAACCATTAACGCAAACAAAGTAATTTTAATTATTTTTGTCAATTAACAGCGGATGTTTTCTACAATCCAAAAATCACAGTATTAAAAAGACATTAGAAGGCACTTCATGAAAGGACGCGTTGAAGAAGAAAATGAAAAAAGGAGACGTTTCCTTTGTCGGGATTCCCACCGAGGAAGTAGAAATCAAGCGATATACAAGCGAAACTTCCCAGCGGTTATATTTCTTTTTTTTTTCAATTTTCATTTCTTGTGCAAAATTATAGAGAAAGAAAGAAAGAAAGAAAGAATGAATTTATTTCTTCAGACAATTAAATGCAAAAATACAGAAAATGAAGAAACACATTTTTAATAGTCATCATTGAATTTATCTGACATTTTGTATAATATATCTGAAGAGGATAGACCAAGGGCATAATAATTGCCCGCTTGACGTCTACCCTGGTAGTAGTAAGACACGAAAAGTATAATAACTATAGATAAAAAGTATTTAAATTAAAAAAAATAATAAAAAAAAATGAAAATTTTTTCAATTAGTTTTTTTTTCCACTCCTTTCGAAACATTTTTTTTTTCGAAAGTTTATTTAGAGGATCCGGATCATTATTGTAGCTTAGCTTAGTGAGCATCAGTTAAAACCAAGGATCGTAATAAAAAATTGAAAAAAAAAATTTTTTTTTTTTTTCTTTTTTTTTTCTAAGTAATTTGGAAATTTCATTTTTTTCAAAAAATGCGATTATCTCAAAAACTACAAGGATTTGGAGCTTCATATTTTCAGCATGGATTCGCAGCCCATAATTGAAGTCTGATACAGGTTAACCAAAGGGTAAAATTTTTGGTAAATAAAAAATATGGTACTATTGATAAGACATTCTGTGATTATTTATCGAAAATAGAATTTGTTAACTCATTATTTCCTAAAATGTATAAATACTTTAATTTGTGAGCTACCGTAAGCACCTGGCTTGCATTTAGAGACTGCGAATTAATTGGCATAATTCTGTTTTCCTGAAAAATATTAAAAAGTTTTGTTCCCCGTTTAGTTAAAGAGTGGTTTTCTATTCGGGATTTTGGCTTACATATTTTCAGTAAATTCTTTTCCGATCGTCTGGTTCTTTTAATAGAATTATCAAAAGTAAAAAGCGAGTTGAGATAATTTTCTGAATGCAGGTTCGATAGTGACCTTAATAGAAACTTGAAACACTCATAAATATACAATTCATGAACTGTAAGTATTTTGTGCTTAACAAATATATCTGACACGCTTTCGCAATTGTTTCGAAAAGAAATGAGTCGGATAATTTTTTTCTGTAATTCAAAAAGCGGAAGTAATGCATTGTAGCTTGTGCATCCGTACACTAAAATTCCATACTGAATGATAGACCTAATGTTTGATTCATAATACCTAAACATAACAGAGCTCGGCATGTAATGCCTTGTTTTAGCAATTATTCCACATTGTTTTCGTAATTTTTTTTCTGACAAAATCAATATGATTAGAAAATCCTAGTTTGAAATCAATGTTAATACCTAAGTATTTCCAATATATTTCTGACGATAAGTTTTTGCCATCATATAATATTGTTTCATTAGAAGCGCTTTTCCTAGTGAAATTTATTTGAACTGTTTTTTTCATGTTAAGTGAGAGCCTATTAGCGGCAAGCCATTTCGCAACTGCATTAAAGTCATCACTCAGTTTTTCGAGTGATCGATCTATTGCTACTAAAGTGGTATCATCGGCAAACAAGTATACTTCCGAGTTATTGACAACGTTTGGTAGATCATTGACATATAAAAGAAAGAGAAGTGGACCTAAAATGGTTCCTTGTGGAACACCGCTGTTCATTGTTAGAAAATTTGATCGCACACCAGATATCTCTACACATTGTTTACGATTTGACAAATAGCTCACTATCCATTGTAGACATTTACCTACAAGACCATAATATGGCAATTTTTTAATTAGAATATCATGATTTAGAGTATCAAAGGCCTTCTTTAAATCAAGGAATATTGATGGAATTAATTTCTTATTTGAAAGGCGCAATTTTTCGGTAACCTCGGCGATGGCATCAATGGTGTTGTGTTTGATTCTGTATCCAAACTGTTTACAGTATATGAAGTTAAATTGCTCTAAATAATTATATATTCGGTTGAACATCACACGTTCGAAAATTTTACCTAACGTCAAAAGCAAAGCAATTGGCCTGTAATTGTTCATATCTAATTTGGATTCATCCTTGTGAAATGGCAGTATTTTTGCTTGGGATAACTCGGTGGGAAAGATTGCTTGCTTAATGGAAGCATTGATCAGTATTGTTAAGCTTGGTATAATTGCATACGCACATGCTTTCAGAATATTATTACTAACATCATCTAGCCCTACGGAGGCTTTTGATTTTAAACCGGATAGAATTGAGGCAATTTCGTTTTCATTAACTGGTTTTAGGTATATTGATACAATTGGCTCCTTAATTCTAATTTCTAATTCAGGAGTTGATAACTGTTTCACCAATTTATCTGCAATTTGTCCAAAAAAGTTGTTGAAGTCGTTTGCAATTGTCTGTGGATCTGTATGCCTATCGCCACTTTCACTAATAATATCACTGACATCTCTATTACTTCCATTCGATCCTTTTAACAAATTTAAAAATTTATATATTTGTCTGGAGTCGCCAATACATGTTTGAAATTTCTTCATATAAAAATTTTTTTTAGACCTTCTGATTTCTGATCTAACTCTTTCATTTAATTCCTTATACCGCAGCTTAATCAAGTGATTATATTTTCAAGAAACACAAGATAAATTTTTACTCGCGAGAGATTTGAAGAAAATTGCTAACAGACAGTTGAAGAGAGGCCCATATAATCAGGCTACCGCAAAAAACATCAATTATTTCAATCATTGGCAGTTAACATCGGGTAGAAAAACGATTCCTATGACAGTTTCTTCCCATACCCCTCGGGGAGAGGTTGGTTTGATTTTCAAACCTTGATATTAATATATTGGATGAAAGAGGCAGCTCAAATACTGAAAAGATTATACAACATGATCTGGGACATCTAATCACTCTGTTTTCAAAAAAAGATAAATTTACGTGCTGCAGCTAAGTTAAAGTCAAAAAAATTACTTTCTTGTTAGCATTGAGCAAAAACTAAAACTCTGCATCAAAGCGTTCACCTTTATTGCACAGCTCATGGAAACCAATAAATTTCTCCAAACAGATCCAGAAAATGCTAACGAATTTTGGATCCAGGCGTTTCATTTCATGTTCTATGCATCTTATGAAAGCGATCGCTGAGATTGAAAGATATATTACTCTGAAACTATGAGCGGTGAATCGGATTCCAAAGTTTTCAATTTTTTCTAGTTATAAAATAATGTTATTTAATATTTGATGCTCTCAACACAGCTAAATATTAAAACTCAAGTTCATCTCAAGCTAAGACCGGTCAAATCATCTATATTCCTTTTGTGATTTTGATATTGAATATTGCAAGAGCAAAGGTGCATTTTTTAAACCCAAGTATGTGAACTTGATAATGTATCGGGTACACTTATTGTTTTTGTTCGTGGAATAACTGCACTTTCTCATTTAAAAGAAACTCAGGATGTCTTTCTTGAACATTTATTTAAAGAAACGCTTAATGAAAGTTTCAAATATACAATAAAAAAGATTTCAAATATTTTGATTATCTAATCTATCTAAAGAATAAAATAAATACCCAAAAAAATATAAACAGCAGATTTTTGGCCTTTTATACTATAGCAAACAGTTGATTTGTGGCAAATCATTTAGCCATTTTTACGGGTTTTTCCTAAATTCCCAGCCCTCATAAAATTGAAGTAAAATTGTCTGAAAATGTTTTAAAATCTGTTGAATTCTCGCGCTTTTTAGTGTAATTTATGAGAGCAAACTTCATTTGCAAAAACGCATTTTGACATCCAATTTCATTGAAAATAAAAAAGTGGGAGCTACAAAAAGCCAAATTTACTAACAATGTGTTAAGCATACGACACGCTAAACCGCTCAATAACTTAATCAACTATTTCTTGTTAAAATAGCAACCGTAATTTAGTTCGATTCAGATCTTTCCGTATTTTCACTCGAGCTATCTCCTCTTTCATTTGGCAATCTTTCAACTTCACCCACATCGCGTTCAGTATCACCACTGCTGTCGACAGCCGAAGACTCGTCATAATCTTCAGGAACAACTCCAGCTTGTTGCAGAATCCGCTCCATGTTATCCATTCTAGATGCAAATGAGTAGATCTGAGTTGAGAGGGATTCGATCTGGGTTCCTAGAGACGCCATGTCTGCACGTGGGTTAGAGGAAGAAGCCGCCCCTAAAACAATGAGCATTTTTATAAATTGAATAATTGTTAGGTGAACTGTTGATACAATCAAAAAACAGCAATTAGTTGAAGCTGCAGAGACGAAGCGGGGCTTCTCATTACTTGTGATACAAAACAAAACAAGTATCAAACTTTGGAGGAAATATTGAAAAATAAAAAATGAAAAAAAACTGGTCTATACTTTCACTTCCCTTGAATGGTTTGAATAACTTTTTAATCCAGAAAACAAACCCGTTGAAAATATGAAGAACAGACAAAAATTCTAAGAAAAAAATTACAACCTTCAGAAATAAGAAAAGATTCAGAGAACTTAAAACGCCTGTTTCAGCCAAAGGGATACTATTTGGTTCTTATAAATGAATAACTCATTTTTTGATATTGAAGTTTTGAAAAGCAAAGCGACATAAACACTCAGAAATTGAAGAAAAGCAAGAATAATTGGTTGCTGAGCAAGCAGCACAGTATGTTCCGACCATAATGTCAAAAATACATTAGAAGTTTTTTTCAAGTTAGTGTCGTTCTTTTGTGCGCTGCGAAATAAAAAAAGATCTAACGAAAGACTAAAACTAAGTATATTTGACTCACAGTAAAATTTGAAAAGGGATTAAATTTGCTGATGGCAAGTGTAAATAATTTGAGAGAAGATTTGATAAAAAGAAGTCGCTCAGAAGCAACAAAATCCTCTTTAAACCAGTAATAAAAGGGTTGAAAGTGTCAATAAACTCCAGTGACCAAAAACAAATTGGTATTTTTTCAATTTTTTTCAACTTCAATGATTGAATATATTGGACCTTTAAAAACCTGAGCCAAGTTGAGAATATTGTGTCCTCTTTTAAAAAGAACTACTCCAATTTGAGCAATGTCAATGTACAAATTATAGTAAGTACGGTAGAACACATTTAATTTAGTTTGAAACTAAGAAAACATACTATTTACAGTTTGAAACTAAGATTTATTCACATTCTTTCAGGCCATTTCCATATTTTATTGGAGAATTCAATTTGCGGTCCATTTATTAAATGAATTTGAGTAAAACTAAGAAAAAATCAAAAATCAAACAGCTAAAACTTTTGCGTTGAACAAAATTTAGGACTTCCTAAAAATGAGACGATCTAAGTAAGTGACTCCAACTTGTTTATTGACAATTAGTTAGTGTATCTGCAAACTGTTGTCGGTATTAATCTGGATGATTTTCAAATTTTGAACAACAAGTTTGCCCACCAGAGTTATAAAAGAAAAAATCAGAGGGAAAAATTTTGAAAACAGTTTTTTTTCATTTTGCTGTACAAAATTTTAGTTATTTCTTTTTCTAGAAGTGGCGATTCAATTATGTTTAGAAACTGGCTGCAAGAATGAGTGTAATTAAAAGCTTATACACAGGGGCGAAGCGGAGCTTCACTCGCATCAACTTAGATACAATATAAAATAGCATTGCAAGCTAGCAGACAGGAAAGAATAGCCACTAAGTCCAATAAAAAACCACGATTATACAATTATAACTTCAAGTTTTTTTTGGAATGATGATCTATTTGCGAAAAACTCGTCCAGAAACACAATCGGCGGCGTTCAAAGAAAATCCGAGAATATTTATCGAGCGGCAACTGAGTCGACAAAACTTGGGTAAGTCCCGTAGAACCAAAAATAAAAATGTTTTCATGAAAAGCTTTGAACTTTATCATACACTGCGAGCAGCAAAAGAACAATTCTACGATGTAGCAACTAAGCCGACAAAATATAAGCTGACAAAAACTAAGCCGAAATTTTTTTGAAACTGAATATTTACCGTTTGTTAAAAAAAAAAAACAGGCAAAGCCAAATTCGCACCCACCAAGGACATTTGCCGTCTCAGGCGTATTCGGTACCTCCAGACCAAGTATGAGGGAAACCCGAAGAAATTTGAGTTCATTATGAACTGAACTTAAATTTACCATTTCTAATTTTGACTAAGCTGTGAACAAAATTAATCGGGAAAAAAGTCTAGTACCCGATTGCAATACTCTTATCAAAATGGAAGTAAAACTTAACTTGATCAACCTCTATCAAATTCCTGTCGGAAAAAGTGGTGCCAAAATAAAAACGAGCAGCATACACCATAAATAAACCGTACTTTCTACATTTGCAACTGAAACATTTCATCATAAAAATCAATTATCATCATATCCATCATATCATCAATTAAATCATATAAATCATTTAAAAATAAATTTAAGCTATTAGTAGTACTTCAATTGATTTCATATATGCGAACCTAGTTCATGGATCATGATAACTTACAATCCGCAGATCCAATTTAATTTCTTTTAAACAGCAACGTAATAGTATCGTTTTTTGAAATCGTAACAAACAGAAAACGCAAGTAGAATCTTTCGCTAACTTTAGTTGGCCAGTAAAGACGATAACAGCTTAAAAAAAGTTTTATTCTACGCCTTTGTGGTTTCGCATCTATTAGCCTCTGATGTAGGTTAGATGCTTGCTACCAACTTTTTTCAATTGAACGCAACCTGTTATTTCGATTGAACCAATCAATCTAAGAATTGACAGGGCAGTTTTCGAGAAAAGTCGAATTTTTTTAAACTTTATGGCTTTTCGCGAAAACAACCTTCTCCGAGGGCCGAAGTTTTTTTGTGTAAAACAAAATGGGGCCTAGCCGATTATGCAGATTGGAACAGAAATCTCAGATTTTGCAGGGTAGTTTTTGCGAAAAAAGAAAACAAAAATCCAAAAATATGAGCCAAACATGCCTGTTTCGAAGGCTGCAGAAAAGGGAGTAAGGAAAAATGAGACTAGGGGATATGCACATAGGAGAGTGCGGTCTTTCCATTGGTACAACTTTTTTTGAAAACCAGGAAAGTAACTTTTGAACCAAATTGTTTTTTTTTGAGAAAAGTGAAAAAAAAATCCAAAGCGTTTATAAAATGAAAAAACCAAATCCCATACATTTTCATTAAACCTTTTTTTTTATCAAATAGGAAATTACGAGGGAGAGCGAGATTGGAAAATAGCCAAAATTTCAATAGACATTGTTCCTATGCCGATGCTATTTGATTGTTTCATCGTTCCTATTACTGTTGGACTCAGTCAAGTACGTTACGCCATTGATCCGAGAGGTTTGGACCAGTATATTTTTTATGATTCAAAAAAACACCAACCTAGAAGCATGCTGAGCTCTTGATTTAATGATGACAACTCTTGGTCACTTCGAGACGTCGACGATTCACTGGATATATCGTCATTGTTCAGCCCATAACTCCGAGAAGTACTCGCATCTACATCACTGGGAAGAGAGCCTTGAGAAGGAGCGGGTGACGCTAGGATACTAAGATTGTTCACACCGTTTGTCATTTGATCGACGTTGCTGCTAACAGTCCTGAAAATGAGCCTTGATTTTTATGATCATAATTCAGTTAAATAAGAAATGAAGGCATGCGGACTGATAAGGGTCTACAAATGTTACTCTGAAGAGAGAGCATCTATTTACTAGATCGTAACCACCAATAGAACTGGGTCTTTCTCCTTATAGCCACCTCCTCCATAATAAAAACAGTGTGGTGGTTCTATATATTTATGTTACTAATCTTTGGGGGTGGGTTCTATAATTGGGGAGACACCCAGAGAATTGGAGTTTATTCACAGATGCGAAGAGGAGCTTGGCTCCACTTTCGATGCAAAAAAAGTATAGAAAAAAGAGCAATAGCAAAAAATCGATGTCGAACTTCTTCCTACATAACATAGCCAACAGACGTTGGGAAAGAGTCAAGAACGCAAGGAAACTGATTTTTGAAAAAGACTTCAACTTTCGAATTGTAAAGAAAAAATTCTATGGCCTTAAAGCTCTTTGAATTTCAAAAATAATTTATGAATGACAATTTTATGATGAAGAGTGACTCATTTTGAAAAAAAAACTAGATCAGAAGGTAGATCAGAAGTTAAAACCGCGAAATATCAAATTTGAGCCTGAACAATATTTAACTTTTTCCTGAAAAAAAAAAAAAAACAAATAAATCACCAAGACCTATATGAGAGTATTCACTCCGTTCATGACTCTTAAAAACAGGTCCTGGTCAGACTCAAAACCAGGAATTTCGCCCTCGTATTAGCTAAAAAGTTTTCACTATGAATCAATATAACAAATACTCGGCAACATACCTTTAGTAAGGCTATTTGTTAACCCGAAAAAAGTTTTATATTCCAATTTGATAACGCTTGCATCGCAAGCCTGAAAAACTATCCATGCAGAAAGTTCAGTCTGCCTTCAACCAAAGTTCGCAACATGCCGGAAATGCATTAAATTGCTCAAAAAACTTCAGGTCTTAAAACAACCAAATTGCTCAGAAGACGATTAAGTAAACAATTAATCAATTGCCGAATGATGAAAAAATCAATATCCTACTGATTTTACCAAAAATTTAATTCTCTTTTACAGAAGCCAAAAAAAATAAAGAGACAAAAACATTTCGACCAAAATCTGGAAACTATTTTTTCCTACTTTCATATAAACTAACAAAAAACTTAAGTATTCAAGACAAAAAAAAACAATCAAACAAAAGAAAATTTTTAAAGCTCAATTTTACAAAAAACCATTTTTAAAAGGAATGCACGACACACACTGAGCTCAATCTAAAAAAGTGAACGCAAAAATGCGTCCGGTATGCTCGAACCTACAAGCCACAAGTCTTTTGGTGTTACAAAATTGATACACAGAGGCAAATTAGAGCTTCGCAACACGGTAATCAGTTAGACTTGGGAAAAAAATTTTGAACCAAAGCCAAAGCGGAGCTTCGCATCACTAGTGGTACAACACAAGCGTTGCATTGTGAGCAAGCGAAAATAAAAGAGACGGAAATCGGAAAAAAGCTCAAACTCAAAAAAACAGTAGAGAAACAAACAACCAGCATCGAATAAAATTTAAGTATCATTCATCAAGTAGCCACTAACCCTAGAATACTTGTGTAGACGTTTACTAAGCCGAAAAGAAAAAATTGCCATAAACCGAAACCATTCTCATCGAAAAAAAACAAGCTTCTTCAAAATCCAAGTTGGAATATTGAGAAAACAGTACGACAATCAATAATAAGACAAACGAAGCCCGACAATTTTTACCGGAGTTCATAAAATATCAAGGTCCGATCGAGACTCGAAACCCCAACAATTTTAGGAGCAAAAGCAAGCGTGCTGCTTCTAGACCGAGTGAAAAGTAGCGCGGAAGCTCTAAGGTTTAACGACAAAATAACTTCAAGTTCTTACAAGTTTGTAAGAAAAATTTCCATTTCACCCCTTTCAAAATACCGAGTTTTATGTTTTTTTTTACGGTTTATTACGGCTAAACGCGTGATGTTACGCTGTAAAGTATGAAGAGCAAATCTGTTCACTGTTTTCGATTTGTTCACCGCGCCAATTTTCATTTCATTGACAACGTTAATTAAGCTTTTCAAAACTGAGTTTGAATAGGTGGGGGGGGGGGGGGGGGGGACTGGAAAAGAACCAAATTTGTTTACCGGAAAAAAAGTCTCAGTTCCCGATTACAAGACACTTGGGCTCTTTTTCACTCCCCCGCACAATTCAAATTTTCATGTTTTTCAGTTGTTTTGAGTGTTATTACGGCTGAGTGTGTGATTTTACGATAAATTTACAATAAGTTCGCTTCGCAAACACTTGCGAGAACACGACAAAAAGCGGCTCTATAAAGTGCAATAATAAAAGTTAGAAATAATCCTCAAATTAGCAAAAATTCGTCTACCTTTGAGATTCGCACCAGTGACCTAGAGCTTAAGAATCTCACACACCAACCACTAAGCCACTGAAGCTTAAAACGAACCAGTGACCTAAAGATTAAGAATCTCACACACCAACCACTAAGCCACTGAAGCTTAAAAGGTAACATTAACCACTCATTCAAAAATAAAGCACACTACACATGCTATGCAATTTCCAATGCTACAGTGAAACTTCCAAATAAGTCAACTTTTTCTTTTTGAACGTTCATTTGCGAGTTAGCTTTGAAAAAAAAGAAGGTTCCTAATAACACACTAAGCTGATCGCAAGCGTAAATAACGCTTGCTAATCGCAAGCGTAAACAATTCTGTTTACGCTTGCGGGGTGGGGAAATGGAAAAGAGCCAGTTCTACAAAACTGAAATGTGGGGGAAAGAGCCGACACTTGCTCTAGCAAGTGTAAAGAAAAAAATATACATTACTCAAAGAAATTTTCAAAATAATGAACTCAATTACCTGCTTCTACAAGTATAAGACCGCTCAGCAAATACTTAAGGCTTTTTCCACTAAACCCATTTTTTACTCAAATTTTGAACAAAATATATTTCAACGTCGTTCAAATCTTATCGTAATGAAAACTTGGCTCTTGTTCCTTTCTACCCCACCTGCGAAATTTTACTACTAAATTTACTGTTCACATTGTCCCATTGTATCAAAAAATGGCATGAAGACTAATTAGGTCATGAAAAACATATTTGGGTCTTCGTAGTTAAACTTGTAAAACTACTCGTTACACCATAAAATTGATGCTCATGTGAGGTAGAGGGAAAAAGAGTCGATAACTTGAATGGTGAACAAACTAACTATAGTGAACACATCGTACTGCATACATTACATCGTAACATCACGCATTTTGCCAAAATAACAGTTAAAACAACTATGAAAAAATTTAAATTGAATGTTGGATGAGGGAGTGGAAAAGAACGATGGTAAAGAATGTTTTGAACTATGAATTTGGAAAAAGAACCAATGAACTTAAAATCGCTATTTTGTTCACCATGCATTGAGAAAACTAACAAAAACTAAAAGTCAAATAGGGGAGGAAGTGGAAAAGAGCCTAAGCATGTAGCTACATCGAGCACAAAAAAAACTCCATTTAGCCATAACAACACAAAACACGATTATAAAAAATATACACTTGAAATGTTGGGGATAAGTGGAAAAAAGGCGCAAAAACCTGAAAAACCCTACAGGAGCAACAACTAACCTCTCTGTAGATAGTAACTGTTCCAGTCGACTGTTCAAATTACTTGTTTTCTCGTCGAATTGGTCGAATAGATTATCCAGGCGATCCATATCTTGAGTTAGTCTGCTTACTTCTGCAAAATAATATTGATTCAAAATCAGCACGAGCTTCGTGAAACTCTCTTTTTTCTTTTCGCACGAGCATCAATTGTATGGTGTAACTAGTGATTTTAGTGTTAACTATGGAGACTAAATATGTTTCTCATGGCCTAATTAGTGCGCATACCAACGCAGCAATTGTAACAATCGGACTTTGTAACAATCGGACAATGTAAATAAACACTTTTTGTGTATAAATTTGCAGGTAGGAAAAAGGATAAAGAGCAGGCGCGGATATAGAATTTTCTCGAGGGGGGCGGATTTTCAAAAACATTACGAAAATGTTGTCGATTTTTTTAGTCGACCAAATTGATACTCTCTGAGCTCTCCCAAATCCTTGTAAAGATCTTTTTTCGACCAAACTTTCCGCGGCAAATTTTTCAAAAAACAGGCAAAAAATGCGCTTTTAGGCATTTTTTGAAAAAAAAATGGACCAAAAATTGTTTTTGGCGCTCGCTCCCCACCCAAAATTAGTTTTTGTTAGCGCCAAAGGCGCCATTAGAAAAAATTTTAAGGTCAGTCAGCCAAAAATGGATATCTCAAAATAGTACAAAGGGGGACCCTTTGGGTCAGCACGCGGTGGTCGAATTCCTGAGAGGGGGGCGCACACCCCCCCCCCCCCTAAATCCACTACTGAAAAACTTTCCTTTCCTTACCCTCCATCTCACATGAGCATCAACTATTGTTGTAGCGAGTGGTTTCACAATGTAAAGTATGACCAAATATTCTTTTCATGGGCAAATAAGTCAGCCTGCTAATTTTCAAAGCATTCGGATTATGTGAAACAACATTTCAGTGACAAATTTGCTTATCATTGTCAGCCCCTACATTTATTACATTCGATCATTTAAAATTTAGGTAGATTATCTGATTAATCATACATATTTCAACATAAAATCTGGTATAAGAACCGTAACTCGATATGAGCCAGAAAAAAATGGCACGTTTCGCCCCACACACATTTTGCTCTTTTTAAATTTAATGATGCATTTCTCCTCACGCGTTTCGCTCCTCTTAATTTCACACATCTTGTCCTCACACATTTCGCTAAAATTAGTGGCACAAGTAGTCGCTGCGTTTTAAATTTACGATTTGAGGGGCGAAAAGTGTGGGTGGGGGGCAAAATGAACCGGTACTTTTATTCGGGGGGGGGGGGGGAATCAGTGAATACTGAGGAAGAATTTTACCTGACAGTGCCTCCTCGATGGCTCTCTCCTCGGAATGCTCATTTTTGAAAGAAGACATCGGCCAATCCGGCATCTATCTGAAAAACACAACTTCTTTTATTACATTCGCTCATACACGCACACAAAGATGAATATTGAGAAGACGAGCTTCGATCCACTTTCGATAACGAAATTAAAGTACACGCTTTATAGCAAGCAAGAGACGAAGCTGCATTTCACAGTCTGTGCCAATTTGGTAACTTTAACTAGTTCGGAATTGCTCGAAAAACAAGGATACGCATTTTTTCAGAATAAATAGTTCTAAGTCTACAATCAAACAGTACGGGTCCTTTCGGTTATACCCCCCCCCCCAAAAAATTATGAAAAATTGAAATGAAAACTGTTATAATATAATTGGGCCACTGTTATTAGGAAACGCACAATTTTGTTATCGGACTGGAAAAAACGAAGCATTTTAACTGAATTGAGCCCCAAACTGACTTCCTTTCTCCAATTTTCTTCAACTTTTGCCAGTTTTCTGCGCATAAATTTCATGAAAAGGATGAGAATTGATTGTCGTTAAATTCGCACTTTTACCATTTTCTAGCTTGATTTAATACTAGCGATATCAGCCCTGCATTTTTTAATGAATTCAGTCCAATTTTGTAAGAAATTTTCATTTTTATTTATTATCATTCAGGGAGGGGGGAACGAAAATACCCAACAAGTCTAGAATGAAAAAAAAAACGGAACAAATATACCAAGAAAAAAATAGCCGAAAGCGAAAAAATCGGACATTTGTTTTAGCTCAATCAAAAACATTTCAGCACGTATATATTTGGCAAAAACTTACAGAACCAACATTGATTGAAATTTCTCAACGATTGCGCCAGTAGATTATTTTCCCAGTAAAGCAATAAAAATTGTTTCAGTAAAAAGTCGCTAAACACGATTGCATTATCTTCCCAAAATTCCTGGGGAAATAAGAAGCATACAAAAAGAAGCTCTCTCGATTTGAAGATATATCTGTGGGTCTCACTCGACTTCGTTAAATGTTCCATCGGAATTCCGAACTTGCGGGAAAAAATACAAAGGCGAAACGGAGCTTCGCACCACTTGCGATATCAAAAAACACAACATTCTAAGCTAGGAGACTGAAAACGAAAGGAAAGCCACTCGGTCGAAAAAATTTTGATGGAAAGAACTAAGAAAAAAAATCGAAAGTTTGTCTGGAATGATGTCGAGTTTGAGAAACACAATGCCGGCAGTAAATAAAAATTCAAACTTTAATCGAGCGGCAAATAATAAGGCGAAAAAAGTTAAATAAACTCCTGTTGAGCCAAAAACACTAATTTTGTCATGATGAAACTTGAAAGTGCTGAAAATCCCAGACAACTATGCCTTCTTTCTGTTTTAAAATTGATCTTTCAAAAAAATAAAAACTAGCATCTTTCAACAATAAAAAATTAGCACTAGACTTGCACTTACGTCTCTTCAAACAGATTGATGAACGTTAAAATTGCTTCAAGAAGTATGAAGAAAAAAAACGACTAAATTTAATGCAACCGAAAAAAGGCTGCCGGCATCAAAAGAGTTTTTTGGTTCATAATCTTAACGACTTTAAAATAAGGACAACTGTGAGGTTCTTTCTTACAAAAACGGCCATATCTCCGGAACAAATGGAATTCAGATATTAGTATTTGTACATCAGAAATGACACTAGATAGTCCGACAGAATACAACACTTTCCATACTGAAATTTCCATATTTGAACAAGGATAGCCGATTACCCTGCAAGTAGCATAGAATGTTCCGACCATAGTCTTAAAAAACACAAAGTTTTTTTAAATTATTCTCGATTTTTGTTTCGGCGTGGTGTGATGAAAAGAGCTGAACGAAAAACTAGGGATTAGGTTTATACGTTAATCATACTAAACTAAGCAAATTGAAAAACAATTTAAAAAAAATTACTAGAAACTAAAAAAAATCGAAAGACTTTTCAAGATTTTTCAAGTTTACTTTCGGAAGTAAACTAACGCTACCCATGTAAAATAGGTTTTTACGTTTTAAATTAACTTATTGTAAGCTTTCAGGCAATTAAAATAAGACTGCTCGCTCGTTTTATTCGCTCGAAATAAGATGAAAAATCAAAAAACTTCAAACCTGTGGTTTTCCTCGAAATTTTAAAAACATTTTATGAAATTTTTTAATGTGGTTCGAATCAAGGCTGTAAGGGCTTTAATATGATACATCACTCGACCCAGCCCGATTAATATTTGGGGTACCTGATTTAGAGTGAAACAAAAACTAAAACAGACCCGACTACAAAGTTCCTCCCCATTTTCAATGGTCGGAACAAAAAAGAGTACTAGAAAGAAATTCTGAAATGAGATTCAACTTTAACATAATTTTTAAATTTGATTAGCCCGCATGTAAACCATTTCCTGTCCTCAATTAGTTGTTCCAGCGTAATACTTTAACAGAGAAAATGAAAAAAAAGAGCAAATTTTGACAGAAAAACAACTAATTAAATTTCAAAATGTTAGTCGGAATGATTTTGTACAGGTTTAAAACACGTCATAAATCACCATCGACATCAATTAATGAAAAAAAATCACTGCTCAGCAACTTAGCCGACACAACATCTCGAACCGAAAACAAAGTTGTCATGAAAAACGTTGAATTATAACATATATTCTAAGGTTTTTAGCATTTTGTGCAATCCGGCGAAGAGCATGAAAAAACTTCCCTTGAAACGACCGCTAGGCCGATGAAATGACAGCCGAAATCATTTGGGCAGAACACTTTTTAAGCAAAACAGGAACAAAAAAAGAATATATACGAAGCCAATGTTAGTAAATAAACAAATTGCAAGAGTCAGTCACAACACTTAGAGCAAGTACATTGAAAATTGCGTACCCCAAAAAAATGCTTAGATGGGGCAACTAACCCGACAATTTGTTGAAAAGGAAATTTTACCGTTTTAAAAAAAAAACAGACCCTATCGAACCCACGACCATTGCTATCCCAGTTGTATTCGTTCTCTCCCGACTAAATATTCCTGAGACTCTAAACAACTGAAAATAGCATGAAACAATATACCAAAAAATTCAGTTAAAATAACGACAACATACAGTTGGAAAAGAGTCATGAACAACGCAAGGAAAACGAACAACAGAACAACCTCATAGCCCTTTGAAATTCTTATGTATGACAATTTTTTGATAAAATTAGCCCACTGAGAAAACTGAATTAAAAAAATAAACTTTTTATTTCGCTGAGAAATATGAAAATCAAATTCCATTTTCGAAACTAGAAGTCGATCACGTTTTTCGTGGTTTTTCTACTTCTGCTATTCGATAGTGTAGTTTACTTTCTTTTCAACGAAGAAAATGAAGTGAATTTAAAAAATCAAAGGTCAAAAAGCGAAAGAGTAAATTTGAGCCTGAACAAATTTAAAGACTATTTCCTTAAAAAGAAAATATACAAAAAAATACCAAGACTTAGATAAAAGTATTTACTACGTTCATGCCTGCCTTTTAAAAAGTTAACACAAAAAATTCTACCTTCCGATTTAATAATGCTTGAAAATTGCAAGCGTAAATAATACCAATCAGACTTGTTTAAATTTTATATTTGACCTAAAAAAAATCGCGGATATTGTCATATCTCGGAAACTATAAAACATTTGAGCAGTCAATGCTAGAAGCCAAATTTTGAACTCCAGGAATTACCCTCACAGAAACCTTCTATCTTTAAAACTAAGAAAAATTAACAGCAATAGTTAGAGGCCAGTTTTTCTACCCCGACAGCACCCCAGTATAAGTTGCGTTTTCTTGATTTTTTGAGAAATTTCAATTGAAAAAAAAAATTGTACTATCTCGTGACCTTAAAAGATTTGAGCAGTCAAAATTTGATGCCAGTCTAAGAACTTCTGAGAAAATCCTCAACGCGCCTAACCATAGGATTTTTTTGTGGAAATTTTATGGTATGCACTGCACGGAAAATTTTAAACAAAGTTTGCCATGCGAAAAAGGGAAACTAGTTTCACAGCTCTCGCGCTCCAACAGATACATAGTAAAAAAAGTAGATGACCAGGGAATTATGCATTCAATTGTTCTTAACGATAAAAACCTCGTTGAACACTCATTTAGAATATTTTGTTAAGACGTTGACTCCAGTAAACATTTCAAACGTTGCGATATATTGACTATTTAAAATGCCAACATTGGGACTTCTGTGAACCATGTGTCAAGTGAACCTTCTGGTAGATAATGTATAGAAAAAACTTTATGCTTAAAAAATTTCGAGGAAAATTGAATAATATGATGGGATGAGCCAAATACAACGCCAACTTTTCGACAATCTGAATGAGATCAAAAACATGATAATTAAGAGTAAATTGATGAAAATGGAACATAATATTAGACAGAAAGTATTGATAACCAAAAATTAAAAAGGGAAAATCAAAATATCATTACGCCAGCATCTGAAAAGCAGTAAATTTTAATTGCTTCAAGTAGTTATCGATATTTACTTCATTGATTTAAAAAAATCATGTAGCCGACAGAAAAAAAAACACTACCAATTAGAAAAATTCACGAAACAAAAAATCACAGAGAGATAATCAAGTTTTATGTTTAGAACCCACGTTTCAGAAAATAATCCTCGCGCCTATTGTATTGACTCAACTTCTTTTATCAGACTTTGTTCGAACCGAACCCAGATCAAAAGGGTTCGAATTATATTGCAACAGTAACTCCAGAAATGCTGAAATAACATTCTGTTCTATCCTTTCATTTCATCTTCCTGCTTGTTCTCGAAGACAGTCGAATAACTTCGTCTTGACCCACTTTTTACCCCATGGAGCATATCTTCCATTGTCAGTCTGCACTAACACTGACAAATCGGGCAGAGAATCAATGTAATCGAAGAGGTCATTGACGTCATAAGTTATAGTGGATTTATTCGGATTTGTGACCTGAAATATCAGCAGACCCGAAAATTATTATTCGTTCTAGCAACAATATCAGCCACGAGAGGTTCCGAATTTTGGCATTATTGATGGACATGGCTTTGGAGGTACTTTACCAATTCACGAAGTTGCTAGCCATTAGATGCAAATTCAGAGAGATCTAAAGATTAGTCTGCGAAAAAGGTAGCCCTAAATTGAAAGCTGGGCGGTAAAAAGGGACCAATATTGGCTATTCAAAAAATTCGGGTGCTTCTTTTTTTGTTCGGAAGACATAAGTACATGAATTTGGCAGACATGAAAAAATAACCTTAAGATAGTTCTCGTATGTCTTGCAGATGCCTTCCATTGCCTGATCAATTGACTCGAACTCCTGGTATCGTCTCGTCGCCAAGCTCTTGGAGCTCTGAAGGAACATTATGGTGTGTTCTGGCTCTCGTGGCATTTTCAAATCTGGAAAAAACTTCAGTTCAAAAGTGTAAATGCTATAGTTCTGACAACTGAAAGCGAGGCGGAACTTTAGACTCAGGTAACTTTTTCATGCAAAATCGGCAATACAAAACATAGCCAACATAAAATTGGAAAAAAGTCAAGGAACGCAAGGAAACAAAATATATTTCAATTTTCGAATTTCAAAAAAAAAACAGATGGACTTATAATTTTGAATTTCAAGAACAATTTATGATAGGCACTTTTTTGATAAAATTAACTCAATTCGAAAAAACTGGATCAACAGATAAGCTTTTTATTTCACAGGGAAATATGAGAATGAAATTCAATTTTCGAAACTAGAAGTCGATCACGGTTTTCGTGACCTTTACACTTTGGCTGGTCGATAGTGGAGTTTGCCTTCCTTTTAACAATGAAAAGAAATAAACGTAAAATCAAATCACAAATCAAACTGCCAAAAACCAATAGTGAGCCCAAACATTGCTCTGAATACACGTCAACAGTAACATCTTTCTGCTAAGAACGAAAGAGAAAAAATTTATTTCTCACGAAATGAAAAAAACTCAACCTGTAATTACGCATCATTCACTTTAATTTAACCCCGAGAGGATATCAAACGAAGCCGCCGGTAAAGCTTCAAAATTGGGGGGGATTCTAAGAAAATGAACATAGCTTACAATTGGTGGATTATTGAAACCATCTATTGACTTATGTAGGAACCTATTCGGAAGGTGTTGCAATGAAGCCAACAAAATGCTTTATATCAGGTTAAAGCTTTTTTTTCTATTTTTTTTTGGGTCCAAAAACTCGCTAGTCAAAGTCACCTTAATCTGCTTTTCACAAATTTCTTGAACTTGTTCACTTTTATATTGCTGCTTCTTCTAACTATAAGTCCTTTAGCCTGCATAACACCAGTAAAATTGGCTTTTTTTAGACCAAGGACAACCATGTGAGCACATGCGGCAGCAACAAGTGAACAAATTCAAAAGGTTCCAGTTCTCAGCAGAGAACTGAAACCCAATTTCAAAACCTAAAAAAAACTAATTTAAAACTCGATTATGTACTTACAAAATTCCATTTTATTATGGATATCAGAAAATTTAAGATCATAAAAACGGATATTTCAGCTTTGAAGCACAGAACCGAATGGAGCACGTTTCAATTTTTGTTGTACAGAGGAATTCTGATTGTCCTGTAAATCGACTTGCAAATTGAGCTTGAATTGAAAAAAAAATTGAAAAAAAATCAACCTATTTAGTATTCAATTGACCGATAGATGAACTAAATGACCGAGATAGGAATCGATTGCTTAAAATTCGCCTTAGTGACTGTAGAAGCGGACGATGTTGCAAAGAAATGTGGATATATACTCGATTTAGACGAATGCGAAGTGCCACATCAAGTAGAGATTGGTGAAATAATCAGAGGATTCATTGCTTTAGAAGTTAACATTTTCATTGACTTGCTCTATGGTCGATTCGATACGCTGGTATTTGTAACCTAAACAGAACGGATTTATCAATCTGACATGTTTTTGAATTAAACATTTCTTCACCTGACGTTATAACTGATTGTCCTATAGATATGAGGTAAATTTTTGAAAACTTTTGATTTATGAGATCGATTTCCTTGATATATACAAAGCGTATTTCCTTATTTTAATAAACCGAAACCTGGTTGAGTTTCCCCGAAATGTTTGAGGAGTTGTTGCATTGAACTTTTTCCTGGTTGCATTGAATTTTTTCAGGTTATAATGTCAGTCTAAAAATTTGATGATGCATTTTCAACAGCTCAGTCAGAGCTGATTGATGTTGTTGAACTGCAAAAAAAAACAGTCTTATTTAGCTGATGTGACAAAATTGAAAGTCGAAACGAAGAAAGCATTCGCTATTATGAGAAGAAAGTGTTCTGACTTCGATGACGGCTCCGTCGATTAGCTAGAAAAAAGTAGGCTCAATATTCAAAACATTATCGATTCAACATCCGCTGAGTTTTTGATTTTGTACGTTGCTTGATCATAGATTTGGGGCCCTTTTCCCCTAATCTTAAACCAATTCGATCTAAAAAAAGGTCCTGGTATTGAGTCTATGCAAACCAAACAAAACAAGTTGTATTTAATTATAAATGGAAAGCTCAGAGCGCCAAATCATAATTATCGTGTTACTTAGAAGGTGTGATCAGCACGCATCAAAACGTCGAAGGGAAATTTTTGGAAGTGCTAATTGTCTTTCAATTTTCGCAGAATTTAGGGTCATTGAATGATGTGACGTCTGATGACATAAACTCCGTTTAAAAATATCAGTTTTTTTTTCAGCTCAAAACTTGCTTTAGTTTATCGAGCAATGTCTTCACCAAGTCTGCTTCCTTTAGAAGGAACTTCCAAGTTCGCTCACCTTATCCAAACGAAGTGGAAAACAAGCAGAATGAGTAAGAAATCGCAGCTGATTTTCAGTTCAATGCAATGACACTAACTTTTGCTATGACAATTGGTGTTGTTTGAATATTTGTTTTTGAGCCCTGTAGAAAATTTCTTACGCTACTTTTTTTCAGGCTGTTCTGTCGGTGCAAGCAAAGTAAGATGCTACAATAGATGAGAAAAAAGTCTAGTCTCTATTAAATAGTGTTTTTCAGATTAACTGAATTCGGGACAGCCGTGGTGGTCCCTATCTATTAATGAGATTTCATATATTCAAGGATAGCCCCAGCAAAAGTTTGTTGATTGCGGATTCACAAGCAAAACGCCTGGACTTCAGCAACATCAACGCGGGTGGAAACGATCTCTATAACGGGTATTTGCCGTCAACTGAAAGCGTTGACGACGTAACAGAACGCCTTGTCAAACTAGCAAACGAGCTGCTGAACGTAAGCGAACGTGTTTTTGTACTCGGTATACCAGCTCGCTATACCCCCGAATCTGAACGTGAACTGGTTGAGGACCACGAACTCGTCAGACATTTTGCAGTCAACCGAAAACTAGAAAAAAGCGCTGAAGCTCGCTGGGTTTTCCGAGGCCTATCCGACCAAATCTACTGTGAGAATTAAGTGTCTGAACGAGATCACGTCCACCTAAACGAACCAGCTCTCAGTGGACTGAGAAGAATATTGAAGCAACGGGTGTTGTACGAAGACTATTCAGAGAACATACGTGAACGAAGACCAAAAGTTTATGAGTGCAGTCAAGCGACTGGCTGTCTTTGCGGATCCTTCTCTGGATAACTTAGTATCCCTTTCGATTCTTTAACAGATAGGTCTCCTTCTCAGGAGTCACTGTTTTTTTGAGTCGACCCCCTTTCGGTTCTTTAACAGATAGGTCTCCTTCTCAGGAGTCACTGTTCTAGAGTCGACCCCCTTCCCTTCTCTCTTTCCGCATAAGCCTTAACTGAAACAAGCCTTCTAAAAAAACGTTTTAATAATTTGCAGTCTGCTATATAGCTTTTGGTTCATTGAGACTTTTCGTATATTTTCACACTAGACTTTCTGTTCTGATTTTACTTCTTTGTATTTGATTTTAATCGCTTTTCGGAGAAAATTTTTTGATTTCAAGTTTTTATAGCACCACTCATTAAGGAGAATGCGTTTAGAAATGAAAACATTGTATACCCATAGACTGAAAACCCATATTGAACAATCGGAGTTCTGTTGCTTTGAAAATGATCAATCAATTGCTTTCTTGGTACAAATGTCTCAACTCACAAATTACACCGCATTGCTACCCCAAACTTAAACGTATATAATCGAATCAAATTGGATGTCTAAACAGTTACAACGGCTACCTTTTTTTCTAAGTATAACTCATTAAGAATTCATGACCTATAAAATCGAGATGGTAGTTTAGATCCATTTGAACAGTCTTGTCAAGATTCAACCCCAATTTATTAGCATTTAGCCAGTTACTTATAAAACGTAGATTGGTCTGAAGTGACTAATTTTGCCAATAATGGAATGCAGTTATATCATCTGCAAAGAGAAAAACATCTGTACATTTACAGTGACCGGGCAAATCATTATTAAATAAAAAAGTGGACACAAAACCGAACTACAGCCAATTTTGACTCAATTTGATGAAATATCACAAATTTCAACACGTTGGTATTGGTCTTTCATTTAACTTTCAAATAAATTGCAACAATAATGTCTACAACCATAACTTTTTAATTTGGTCAGGAGAATTTCATGATCAATAGTATCACACAGTTTTTTAAATTCAGAAGAAAATGTGTTCTTTGCTTTCAGTTTGTTGATTCGTATATTTTCAGTTCAGCCAAAACAGTGACATTTGAGTGCCTCTCCCGAAAATTGATTGCATTAGTAACAATCAAAAATTCAAAAAAAAGAACACTGTCAAGCTTATCCGTTAAAGTATTTTGCTCCAGATTAGAAGAGGGGAAGTTTAAACACTTGGTAAAACTCCACTTGAGAATAACTCTTTGATGATTATATTATTTATTTGGCCGTCACCGATGACGCTTAATTCCCAAGTGGTTTGGAAGACTTCAAAGAAGAATTAGATAGTAGGGACAATCAAAGCTGCTTGAAGATAATAAATTATAGACCCTTTAGTAACAAATTATTTAGACCAAATTTTAGTATAATTTAGTTTTCAGTATAATTTAAGCAAAACAACGGTTTGAATCACTTTTACGAATTCAAATTTATGGATCCAATTTGATAATTTCCTCCAACTAAAAGCAGATTCTTCTTTGTGAAGTGAAGACATTTCACAGGAGTAGCTTTGGTATGAAAAGTATTCATATGAAAGGCGGAAGAATCTGGAAGCGAACTTTGATTCAAACTAGATTGCAAGACAGGAGCGTCACTGTCCAGAAATTGTCCCAATAATTTAGTCACATCCCACATTTTAATCATGCAACTTGCGTATCCAGCTACTATCACATTACCATTCCGGTCGAAGGCCAACGAGAAAACACTCCTGGGACAATTACCATTAGTAGTTTCAGAAGAATCGCAGTATTTCAAATCAGCAATAATTTGGTTTGAAAAACTCAAATCGTGAACTAAAATCTGACCATCTTCGTCTCCAGAAACTACAAATCGACCAGTTGTTGGGTGAACACATATGCAAGTAATTGGCGATTTATGACCAGTTAATACTCGCACACAATCTCCTGTTAACACATCCCAAACTCTTACAGTTCGATCAGCGCTGCCTGAAAATATATAGTTGGAGTTCGGATGGTAGCAGAGACATTCAACAGCACTTAAATGTCCACAGAAAACTCTTAAAGGCTGAATGTGCTCTTGAGTCCAAAGGCGGACACTACTATCATCGCCAGCGCTCGCAAAATAATGTCCATAACTTGAGAACTTCACATCCCAAACTGGTCCTATATGACCTTTAAATACGACTAGATTCGAGTACGTGTACAAACTCCACAATCTAACAGTGGAATCAGCCGATGCCGTAAGCAGGCTAGATTTGTCAGGAGAAAAACTGTTTCCGTAAACTGCAGAACGGTGACCTGACATCGTTTTGGATTCCGCTGCCGTTTTATCGTCTAGAAGACTATCAAGTGTTATAGACGCTGCATCTTCTTCAAGGTCAATTTGAGATAACTCTTGATACTTTTTCATTTCCTTCAAAGGCTGGTCAGTTAAACTCCATATTTTTACGAGAGAAGATTCAAAACTGCCAGCAAGTAAAGTCGCATCTTCACTAATGGTAAGATCAGTCAACGTATTTGTAGTGTTGTGCAAAGTATAGCAATAAGCACAGAAAGGTTTGTTAATACCTAACTTGATCCTTTTACTAGCATCTCGCATAGCTGCGAGCCTTTCAAGTCCGTCGGTTTCCTTGCGCTCAGGAAGTGGAACTCTGTCTAGCGCCGGTGCCAACGGGGTACTTTTTGGCTTCTTGGGAGTACCTGCTATTTCTTTTCTCAATCTCTTCTTGGGCTTCTTACCGACTTCATTTGATTCACCTGCCTCATTCTCGTTATCATCGGCCTCTGCAACATTTTGATCAAGATCTCTATCTCTGTTTATACCATAAAACATTTTGATGACTTGAGTACTGTGAGTTGAGTCACCACAAAGACTTCCTAGCGATGCTTCAATTACTTCAGTGCTCCTTGTTTTGCTATTGTAAACATTTATATTCATTTTAGACTTGAGCATATTCATCAAATTCACAGCCGAGTTGTCATTCATCTGTTTCATCAAGTAACTGTTCGTTTCTGAGGACAGAGTAACAGCAAACTTTTCACTCATCAATGCTCGTGCTAAGGGGCTTTCTTTTAATTGATCTTTCGATTTAATAGACCTCAACTCCTTGCAATCTGCGGTGTGGAAAGCGAACTGATTTTCCAGAAATTTATTGAAAAAAGCTGAGGCACCCTCAAAATTGTCATTCCTTATCATCTCTATGTAGAAGTAACAAAATAATGGAAACAAAAGGGAGCCAAGTTCCACTTTCATGGAGTCCAGAGATGTTTGAATGAGATCAATGATAAATGAGTACTCCTCAAAGCACCAACCATTTCCTCCACTCGTCGAACTTGAAATTGGACCCAAATTACCTTCTTTTTCAAGAATATTCTTTTTGAATGTATGGCTGAGTGATTCCAAATTATTGGCTTCCAGAAAAGCCAGAACATCATTAAGCTTGACGGTTGCATTATTGTTTGGGCTCTCGGTATATCTCTCAGCCATTTAAACATCTAAAAAAATTTAAACTACTGAGGTTTCAATTGTAGACTTATTGTAGACTGGATATTTACCTTACATTATTGGATACCGCTCAACTCCATCATATATTGTCATTAACAACATTGCCAAAGCGAAAAAACAGGATGCTGGAACCGTTTCAAAATCTGAAACGTTACGACTTAAAAATTTAATTTTAGAGATAGAGCAGCTTAAGCAAGTGGTTTCTCCACATTGGAAAAAAATTTTACAATACAAAAGTTTTTATCCAAAAAATAGTCCACCCATAAAACGATATCGAAGACTTCAAGCTTTTAAAAAATATACACACCATTCAAAAAGCATGGTTTTGACTTCTGTAGACAAGTTGGCTAGCCTAAACAATGGAGTCAATGTAACATTCGCCCTGAAACTATACAACATAGGAGGATAGAAAAGTCCTCATCGACGACAGAGTGAGGTCAGCTACCCTAATTCTACACGTTCTTCATCGTCTCGAACTAGCCAGATGTTTTTCCGGTCTGTCTAAGGGCTAACCATCATGATATTGTGACATTCGACCAGAATGTGAAAAATGCAATCTCTGCGGAATTCGAAATTTTAGCAGCTAGCCTTCCGAATTAGTGATTTTAAATGATTAACGACGTTATTTGAACGATGGGACAAAACGTGAAGGTTGAAGGATTCGGGAATTGCTAATTTTTAAATTTTCGAAGTGATTACGTAACATTTCTGAGAAACGTCAGAAACGGCCATTTTGTGACATTCGACCAGAATGGCCAAAATGCAGTCTCTGCAGAATTCAGGATTTTAGCAGTGAACCTTCCGGATTGGCGATTTAGAACGGATAAGGACGTTATTTGAATGATTGGCCAAACGGTGAAGGCTAGAAGATTCTGGAATTCTAAATTTTAAATTTTCGAAGTGATGACGTAACATTTCTGAGAAATGTTAAAACGGCCATTTTGGCTAAAATAGCAGAAAGAAACAGAACAACTTTATCTGCGATTACGAACAGTACGAAAATCGAGACTAAAAAACAACAACGAACTACCGAACAGCAGAGGACGTTCCGAGTTGCAACTATTGTGCTGTTACAATAGTTGCAAGGCCGTTGCGAACAACGGTGAAGGGTAAAAACCAGCCCTCCGAGTTAGCGTGAACCTGAGGTTAAGGAGCTTGATTCGCCGGATTCAAGAATCCGGAAGGGTCTCGGGACGGGAACTTTTATGAACTTGTATTGAATTTTAGCATCCTGTCATGTCCTGACTTGAATTTAACTGATATTTTGATTAGTTTTGACAAGGATGAGGTGCTAGGAGTTGGGGGGAAAGGGTTGATCCATCTTCGATGGAGATGATGATTTTTATCTACTGAACAAAAACAATAGTAATATGATAAGTAGTAGCCCTGTTTTTAGGAGTGACCTCGTGGTCTGGGGATACAGAGACCCAGCCATGAGCTCACTAATTTTGCATGTAATTCAGTTAATTTGAGCGTTCTGGTCGAAGCCGGAGAACAGTAACGTTTTTGTCAGCCTGATGTAAGAAAGACCACCGAAAAGTACTGGCTTGGTAGAGACGGTGAAAAACATGCAAAGCTCTGTTTAGACGCTAGCCAGTCGTCTTAAGACTTAGTTTTGTTATCCGTCGATATGTATCTTCCGGGCGAATGTTACATTTTGGCAAAAAGGTCGAAGAAAAACACAACAACATTAGTTGCGCGGACGATAACTACGAGAATCGTGATAAAAAAACAACAGCAGATTGCAGGAATAGCAGAGAACGTCCCGAGTTGCAACTATTGTGTCGCTACAATAGTTGCAAGGCCGTTGCAGACAACGGTGAAGGGTGGGAGATAGCCTTCCGGATTACGAAGAAATCAAGATTAACGAGCTTGATTCAGTGGATTCAAGAAGCCGGAAGGGTTTCGGAACTGAGACTTTTATCCTTTTATATAAACTTTTAGCTTCTTGTCATGTCCTGAATTGAATTTAATTAACAACTGGATTCATTTTGATAAGGATGAGAAGCTAGGAGTTGGGGGAAAGGGTTGATCCATCTTCGATGGAGATGATGATTTTTATCTACTGAACAAAAACAATAATAATTCAATAAGTAGTAATCCTGTTTTTAGGAGTGACATCGGTCTGGGGATACTGAGACCCAGCCATGAGCTCACTATTTCTGCATGTAATTGAGTTAATTTGAGTGTTTTGACCGAAGCCGAAAGCAGTAACGTTTTTTGTCGACCCGATGTTAGAAAAGACCACCGAAAGTACTGGCTTGGTAGAGACGGTGAAAAACATATAAAGCTCTGTTTAGACGTTAGCCAGTCGTCTTAGGACTTAGTTTTATTTTCCGTCGATATGTATCTTCCGGGCGAATGTTACATAGATGTTTTTATGGCACTCCTGGGTGTTATTTTTTTTAACATCATGACCGGCAGAACCGTTAACGAGCACTCCGCACCGAGCGGATGCTCACATGAAAACGCCTTAATAGACCTAAACCGCCGGGGCGGAAGGGTAGTTCGGAACGCGGAAGCCTTCCGGATTACCGTGAATAGCTTTTTAACTTAGTTAAGACCGAAAATTCACGAATCAGGAAGGGTGGGGGGATTGGCCATTCCCTCGTTCCCTGAGAGGTTTGTGACCAAAAACACTTAAAGATATAATATAAAGCTAAACAAAAAGTAGTATAGTACCCAAGAAAAACAAAAAACATAAAAAAATAACCAAAAAAAAACCAAAAACAGGAAAAAAAGTAAAAAATCAGTAGAAATCATCCCCCCAGACAAGATGTGATCCGACCCCCCCGTTTGTTGTTGATATATATAATGTTGTTACAGGCATTTATATCAGTCAGGATCGTTACGATCAGTTTTGTAGCCCGTTTGTGAGGCTTGTACTGTAGGGTTATTTGAGCATTTAAGCACGTTAATGATAAATTGCGCTCAATCCGGAAGGGTCAGCTGATTTGCGCTCAATTCGGAAGGGTCTTGGGAGACGACTGATCCGGCAAGCAGTACAAGGAGCAACAAGAAGGGGCTCAATGACAATAACAATCGACTGTTGGGTATCGTTAACAAGTTTTGTATCCCTTTTGGTACAAAAATTAAGATATTGCACTGTAGTGACCCTTCACCGAACTGCGAATATCCGAGTTAAGCACCTTAATTCGGATATTAAACAAACCCGGAGGGGTATAGTATTATTAATATTATTAATTATATAGCCTATAATTATAGTCTTATATCGTTTTTCAGTGAAAAACAACGAAAACAGACCGGTTTTTAGGGTCAAAATAGCGATATTTTGATCCCCCCACAGGTCGCGATTTTTGAAATATCGATATTTTTTGAAATGTAAAAAAGCGCTAAAGTAGTGTGTTACATCGTAACTGCACTACCATAATAGATAGAACCGGTTAAGTTTAGTTCAGAAGTGGTTGGAACTATTTTGGTACCGAAAACCGAAATTTCGTGATTTTTGAGAAAACGAAACACTATAAATTCAGAAAATTTTTTGAAATTTTTGAGTTACAACAGTAAAAATAGTTGTTCGGACAACGTCCACTAGTGAATCTACAGATTTTAAAACCCGCTACCCGAAAGCCTTCCGGGTTGCAGAGAAATCGAACTTAACGTGTTTGATTTGGTGGATTCATCAATCCGGAGGGGTACAGGTAGCATAGTTTTTCTACTAAAGCGTTTAAGATCGGGTCTTTTGCATTGAACTAGAAGAGTATAGGCCTTCTGAGCTCGGATCAATAATTTTTAGGTCGAAAGGACCAGATTTGCGGAAGAAGTTAGGCGGAACCTATAAGAGATACATTTCTTGACTTTAGAAAAAAGACGTTTTGGTTAATAACTTTGGAACTACTAAGCATATCGAGTTGATCTTGGTACCAATAGATCAGAAATTAGCTGAGCTTACTGATAAAGACAAAAGTTTTGCAAAAAAGTAAGCGTGAAAATTTTTTTGAGATTGTTTTTAGCAAATTCCTCAATTTGGAAGGGTACACCCTTCACGTATTATAAATTTTTTTTTTTAGAAAAGCCTTATACCCCTACCAAAAGGTAGTAGCGGTTGAATAAAGTAACTTTAGGCTGTTCTAGACGAAAAGTGAAGGCTAAAGACACAGCAAAACTTTAATCGAGCCGAAGTTAGGCAAGCGACAAGACCCTTCACCGTTAGTGTGAATTGTAAAATAAGAGGCTTAACTTCAATCCGGAAGGGTCTAGGAAAGTAGTACATACCCTTCCTAGTTAATTGAAAAAGCAAAATTGCATCGGAGAACGTATCCGGAGGGGTATAGGTTGAAAGAAGGAAATCTCCGAAAAGCTACTTTTACGAAACCGGAGGGCTCCCAATCCGGAGGGGTCAAAATTTTTTCAAGTTAGGAGGGGTCCGAATCCGGAGGGGTCTTATAGTTGCTAATTCGGAGGGGTCCAAATCCGGAGGGGTCTTGTGTTAACTATCTCGGAGGGGTCCCAATCCGGAAGGGTCTAGATTTTGTTAGTCCGGAAGGGTCCTATTTGTGCCAATCCGGAGGGGCATTATTTTATTAAAGGACTTAGGTAGGCGAAAGAAAGACTAAAGTGAGAGGTATTTGGTTATTAGCACAAAGGCTAGGAATCAGTGACTGCACTGGTAACTTGCCTTTCAATAAGAACCAGACCAAAACAAAACAGGTCCGAACTCGGATATTCGCGACACTAAGTCTATATTAAAAAGAGCGTGATTCATTGGTGTGGATTGTAACATAATACGTTTTTGTGAAAAGTGACTGCCCTGAGGATTTTAGTAGGTCTAGCTCGGGCAGTCCGAAGGCAGATAGGTAACACAGTACTCGGTGGGTGCAATAGACGCCCACTTGAGAAAATTACTGCCTTCAAAGTTTTGTCTGTTTGGTGCAGCACCGAGCGGGGAGAGCTTTTTCTTTAAAAGACAAGTTCGACTATTGTACTGCGACCGACTAAAAGTACATTACATATACGTTTTTTTCATAGAGGCATTAATATTCTGTCATTATATATATTTTTTTGTTTTTGATTTTAAATCAACGTAAACTGTGCTTGATTGGGTAGTGAGTACACTATCTTTTAATTTGACTGATAACACCATATTGTGCTAGTTTTCGAATCTTACGACCAATAATCGGTTAGTGTGGATAAATTTTATACAATTTGTACTCTGATAACATACAGGGATTCGTGGTCACTATTTAATAGAATCTTGTGAAATTTATTGTGTTGTGTCATTATTATTGTTAATAAAACTATAAGGTCACTAGCAATCGAGTTAAGTGTATAGGCATTGAGAAGTGAGAAATAGAGAATGAGTCTAGACAAGTCAAGGATACCAAAAATAGGTAATAGCTCTAGGAAATTCATACCTGAGGAGCAAAGAAAA